TGTGAGGAGTGGTGGAGTGGGGTTAATCATGTATATATTGTTGAAACTGCAGCACTTGTCCACTGGAACGTGCTGGTGGTTTTTCCCCTGAGGAGTTGGAGGAATTTCTGGTTCATATTGAGACGACTTTCGAAGCTAGCCAAAGCGAGGAACAGACCCGAAGTGTGAACACCAACATTGCGGTTGATGGGGTTCAGACCCGCAATTTGTTGTCACTCGAATCCATTTAGTTGTTTTTGGCAAACCCATAGCCCCTGGCCATACATATATATAGCCCAACATCTGTCCGCGCTGAGGTCCCACCTGCAAATGGATGGGCCGGCACCTTCGGTGGCGGGGTTCCGTGGTGGTGGTGGTGGCCACAGTGCCCCTGGTGGTGGTGCTGGAGGAACAGAAAAACCCAATGGAGTTCCAAAGCCCAGGCCCAAGAAACCCAGACCACCTGCAAAAGTTGCTGAGAGTAAGGCCAAGGAAGCCAATAACAAGCTTGGGGATCTCAAGAGTCTTCGCACCAAACTTGAAGCTGCAACATCTTTGCCCCTTGGGTTCAAATTTTGCTTTGGGTTGAAGCGACAACTGTTATTTATATGATCGGTTGGTGCTCCTTATGGCTGCTACAAACCCTAATGATCAGGTCAGATGGTACTCGCACCGCATTCCTATCAGACTTGGAGACCCACTATACTGCTATCGAGGAGGCAAGTACGGCTCTGAACAATTTGATTTTGCAGGGTGAAACCAAAGAAGAGATCTTGAAGCCCAAGTGTGACCAATGCACTGCGGCGATCGACGCTTTCAATCGGGCTTCGAAGCACATCAAAGGCTTTGTTGTTCCCCGGCTGGTTTCAAGTCTGGGTCCCACATTCTGCGGTACCTGTTTCGGGATGTTTCTGGTTTTGATTTATAAGAATCGTAGTCGAATCCTCGTGCCATGGCCCAAGGCGCCTGACAAGAATGCAAAGAAATGACGATGGTGATCAGTTACAGCCAATTGTGGGATTGGGCTGGTCGGGCTGAACCTGGCCATTTGCATGCGTGGGAACTGCCCATGCGTTTTTGGGGTTTGCTCGTAACCATCGCAGATGACCCATGGCCACTGTTGTTGAAAACTCAACTGAGAGCCTTCACGCATGCGCCAATTGATGTAGGGGTCGGTCTGCGTGTGGCGTACCTGAGTTTTGTCAAGCTTTTGCCAAACCGTGCGTCCATAGGAAAATCATGTTTGAGCTGGCTAGTCTGTTGGTCAGGACGACCCGAGCGAGAGAGAGAGAGAGAGAGAGAGATTTTTAAACATGGGTGTATGTACCAATCCCCTCGCAGGTGGTGAGCCAAGTCCACTGGTGGATCACTTGGTGAAATCCGTTGGACGCGGGGACCGGGCTGCATTCATGAATGAACGTCGTACGGAGTTCCTTCAATATACGTTTTCCAGGACATGAGCTTCAAAGCAATGCGTGCTACGTTGTGCGCCGCCAACAAGGACCCTATACATGAGCGTGCATTTCATGCTACTATTATAAGCGAGATACTAAAATGAACTGGAAAATAAAGTGAAATATAAAATCGATCCTTGGTGAGGAGATGGTGAGGCATGGGTCGTCTTTGAAGGGGCACGCCAAAAAAACTTCACGATGTCGGGCGACAGGGTCTCCGTGCATCCAACATCCAAAGGGATACCTTGAGGTCAATCGACACCCAGGCCTGGTGTTTGTCATGATGGCAGGTGAACCACTTGTACGTACATCGTACATATACTATCTTCGATTTTAGTCGTCTGTACTGGCTGCACTGCAGGTCCCAATTGTGCTTATTCCAGTGCCTATGAAGAAATCATATCACAGCACCCAGGTTGTGGACAAGAGCCTTGCAATATATATAGCGCACAGGTTCTTGCAACACGTGCAACATCGAATCGAGGATGTAATATAATTTGCAAGTATGCGCATGACCTAGGATGTTGCCATGTGTGCTTCCACACATGCTGGTGGAGAGCTTGTTTGAGAATAAGAGGTGGCCAACTCAACTGATGGCTGATCGGTTAGACGGTGCTTTGTCAGAGTATTGGGACCACGTGTGTGCTCACACCTCTTGGGGCATGCAGCATGAGGGGCACCATACGCATGAACCTCTAGCTCTCTATGGGGATGACGCTGCTGTGAACAATAATGGCGAAAAGATATGCTGCATCACGTTGTCGCATGTCTTGGATCCGCGAAAGAGCTCCATGCATAGCCTGTGGCCTCTTTGCGTGTTCAAATGCGTTCCTCAGTTGCATCTGTACTTGTTGCGTTTAATGTTGCGCACGTTTAGCCTTTTTCAATCTAGCCTTGTACTTGTCCGAGGGGCTCTCGCTTGGCTATCCAACAATTCAAGCTATAATGGGCCCCGCAACTTGGATGCAATCGTCCTTTTATCTTCATGCTTCATGTGGGGCATGTGTGTGTGTGTACATGTGTGCACAGCTAAGATCATCGCATCGTTGAACATTCTTTTCACTGGGGTGATGCCGGACATCCCCTTGGAGCAGCACATTGCAGACTTGGCTTTCACCCCCATGCGAGGGGACTTCAAGCCACCCTATAATCCTTGCAACTGCAAAACCCCTGTGCGGTGTTCCTTGGTAGAGGTCCGGGGTGATTGGAAATTCATCCGCGAGCTGTTCAACCTGGGAGTTGGTTGGAACTCACGGGAGTTGTGCCATCATTGCCATGTCAGTAAAGAGAGCTACTTGCAGTTTCCACCAGCTTTGGATCGTCAGCCGCGGAGAGACCTGGCCAGCTTCCTATCCACCACTAGGCTGATCAACGATCCAAGTTACTAGATTGCATTATAAAAATTATTAATTTCCTCGAGGTTTGTGAGCCTATGGTGATACCGATCTTGCAGCAAGTCTTTGCCTCTACGAGCTAGGTGAAGTGACCCATGCGAAGGGATTCCACCATGAGATGATTCGCTGGTGTACGCTCCACACACTACACCTTGGCGTGGTGAACTGGATTGTTGGCAGTGGTTTCCATATGCTGTTGACCCAGGACTTGACTACACGCTAACTCGAATATCGAACATTCATGAAAAACGCATGAAGAATTGGGTGGAAAACTCGCCACCAACATGGATCCAGCCAGGATCAACTGTGGGGTGGCTGCGCTACGGGCCTTGAGAAGAGGCTTTTTCACGCATATCAAGATTTCCATGGTTGGGCCAAGGCCAACCGTGTACAGCCCCCCCCTTAGATCAATTTGGGTTGGCTAACTGTTTGACCATTGCATTGAATGTCTAGTCTAGCATCGGTGACCTAGGCATTCACACCCGTGCTTCAGTACCAAGTTTATCAGACCTGTGGACAACAATGCCCACATGGTGGCTGCAAAGGGTTGGAATGCACTTTAGCTGAATGTTGCATCACGCAATGCAGTGTGTATTTGCCACATTGGTTGCTATAGTTGTTGATCCAGGCCCGGGTGATTTTGGATTGGATGTCGAACTTTGTGTCCCAGTTCCAACACCCTGGAGACCGGGAGTGGTATTTGCTTCAGGGGTTGCTGCAACTTGTCGTGCAATGTCATGATCATAATCACTTGAATTCAAACATCGATCGCTACACTCACTCTAGATCTTTCTTGCCTGCCCACCAGGCAGAACATGAACCAGTTCATGAAGACCATCGAACAGGCGCCCCGCTACTTGCAGCCAGAACACGTGGCAGCGATGAAGCGCCACACTGAGCCTTGGATGAATCGGATCTAGACATCTGACATCGGCCTTGATTTTTTGCAGCTGCCGATCCAAGGATGTCGCTAGTGTGTGCTATGCTGAGTTGGCAGGATGGGCGTGCAGCAAATCTTTGTCGCTGTTCCCTTTGCGACCCAAGCTTCATGCACCTCCATTGCAATATGCATACCAAGCCAGGGTGGTCTTCTTCTTATTCTTCGTCTTCTTCTGCAGGTGTTTGGCTTCTTTTTCTTAAGATATTTATTATTCTTCTAACCTTTTGACCTTGAGGCGTGGATGGAGTTGACCTACTTTGCTACCAAGGAGTGCTGCTTGGCTATCTTGGCTATATCACTTTATCATAGATGTATATCTATATCTCATGATCGAAGAAATGTTTGATGGTGCCGTTTGAACTCATCTCCAGTTGCAAATGAGGCTACAACCCTCGCTTTTATCATACGTTCAAAGACGAGGATCTTAACGGGAAGTTGGTCCGTGTTCTGGCGTGCAATTTGGAGCAAGCAAACTTAACATGTTCATCATAGATCGCTGTTAGAACACAGCAAATGGTGTGAACCTGGAGGTATCGCGCGGGCTTCCCATGCAAAGACCATGGAGCGGACTTTGCTCACCAAGTACTACATGTGGGTCAACGCGAGCACAAAAAAGTTTGATGTTGAGACCCTCATCAGCAGAGTTTGTTATCCGCAACACTAGTTTGAGCATCGCACTGGTTGTGTCTCCCACTGACCCATGCATGTTGGACATAAGGACCTCAATGGCTATTGAAGATCTCTAGATCTCCATGATGAGGATGCAGAATCTGAGCCCTTAGTCTAATTTGACCCAAATTTAGTTGCAACCAGACCTTTCCCAGCGGACGCTGCAGCCAGGGAACGAACGTGTGGAAGTCAAAGTTGGCGTGCGGCTTGTGTCACTGTGTGCGGAGAGGAATGGGGAACCATTCTGGGATCATGGATATACCGTTCGTGAACCCACTATTCCCAAACGCGCCCACAGACGTGTTTTCAGCCCAAACGCGTCATGGGATGTGTTTTCAGCCCAAACGCGTAAATAGTATGTGTTTGGGAGCCTTTGGGAGTATATTCCAGTTACTTTTGAACCAAAAAGAACCATCTCTCAAGCTCTGACGTAACTTCCATCCTGACATCGACCTCCCACCACTTTTCAGCAAATCCGGTCGAAACCCGCACGTTGAGGATCTCCACGCACGCGCGCGTGTGCGCACGCGCATGCACCCGGTCTGACCGGTCTGACTTCGGCACCTTGGGATCTAGGAAGTCCTTGGCCGCGAAGCGGTGTCGGCCAAGCCTTGGACGGTCGCAGTCGATTGGCGCGAAGCGGTCGCGCGGCGCGAAGGAAGACGAGCGAACGACGGTCATCCGACAGGTCCAGGTCTCCCGGTCGAAAGGGCCGGTGGGTGAAAGGAGGGAGAGAGGATTTATGGGGCGCGGCATGTTTTTAGATATATCCCAGATATGGTGTGTAATTTTTGCAAAGCAGCAGGCTGTTGGCATAGTTTCTTTTCGTCCAGGCCTGAAGAGGTTCTTCAATCCAAATGGAGAGGGTGTATTAATCAAGAGTCTACCAGAGGCCCGAACCAAACCATGAAAAATACGGGTGTTCATCTACAAAAAGCCATGTTTTTTGCTAGGGCAAACCTAGGTTTTTGATGCCCTACATGACCTCCTGGTTTGGACCGGAGCTTTGGACCGGAACCGCGATCCAGAACCGCTGAAGAGGTGCAGAAACTCCACACCCATCTGGTCCCAACACACCCTTTGCGACCGGACACAGCGACAGCTCGGACGAACACAGATGGCACATGGTGGACGTGGATGGCATGGAGAATGGTTTTTGAAAGGAAGACGACGTCTTCCTTTAGAAACAGGGGGAGTGCCATCCTCTTCTGTGTTCGTCGGAGTGTAAGGAGATGGCTCGTTCATGCTCGTTCGTTCTTCACCCCTCCTCGAGTTCGCGGAACTCTCATGACTGCACCAGTTGCGCGAACGAGAACTCCGAACCGCTCCGTCGACAGCTCTTTGTTCTACCCAAACGCGCCTACAGCCCGACTGGTCCCCCAAAACCCTAGGGATTGGTTCGGGTCCGGACCCCTGACCAGTTCGGATTCAGGTCCGCCCCCCTGAACGAAAAATCGCGTGGTCGCGTCGCAGGAGAATCTATAGGCCCCCCCTCCCCCAGTGTGCCGACCCGTCCGTCCCGTTCCTCCGCTCAGGCTTCGTGGCTGGTAGACCACCTGCTGCGTGACGTGCCGGCTCGTGGGAAAGCAGCAGGGCACGAAGGCAAAGCCTGCGACCTGGACCACGTGCGGACCAACCGGATCAAGCGTCTGCGGTCCAGTGGGTCATAGCCTACAGGTTAGTTGGAGCTCCTTTTTACTGGAGTTGGTCATAGAAAAAACAGTACACAATGAACAATGTACCTGCTCGCTTGGTGAGAGTACAAGGGATATAGGTTGAAGCCTCATATGTCATTCGTCTGGAGAGAGGTCTGCGGACTGACTACCAGATGACTCAGTCCGAATCCACTGCGGCCCAGGTTGGCTGAAACCTGAAGTTGGCTTAACACGGACAGCAAGATGATGGGGCTCATATTGCCGGTCCCTCGGTTGTTCCAAACCGACCAACCCCTTGACCAGCCCAAAGGAAAACCATCGGAAGCCACCTTTAAGCCTTTGCGTGAAACAGTTGATCCATATGCTAAACAATCCATAGGATACATTGGGATGGTTGAGGGATCAAAGTAAGGAGGGATTTTGATCCAAAGCCCAATCCCAACTAAACTCCAGACCACTCAGAGCACCCCCACCAGCTTTCCTCCCGAGCCTTTTCAGGTTTACACAATACCTTCCACCTCGGAGCTACAGTCTTACCAGCCCAGCTTTGTTTCAGTGGATTTGGCGCGGTTGCTTACGGAGCCGGGAAAGAAAGGGAGCCACCCACAGAACAAGTAAGAAATCCGAAGCAAAACCGGGTCTAGGGACTTGTTCCCTGTTTTTCGGCCACTTGGCTGACAGCAACACGTTTCCCTATTGGATCCTGTGGACCTTGCGGTCCGCAACAGATGGAAAACAAATTTTATCAAGACAGGTGGTAGAGAGCCAGCTGCCTGATGGATAAGGCATTGTCTTGCAGACTTGCTTTAGGCTGAAGAACATTTTACTTGGTGGTTCGCCTCCACCCTGGCTCGTTTGCTTTCGTTCTTATTTGTTTGGTCGCCAATTCATCGAAAAGAGCTCAATCACCTATGGCTCGGTTTTTTCTTTCGGTGTTTACCCGTTCTGTGGTGTTGTTTTTGCGGCTGCCGGTGGCTTGCCAGGCGATGTTTCTCAATCGTTTTTGCTAGTTAACAGTTGTTTCTTTGATGCATAACAGTTGCCTCGGTGACCCCAATCCCATCCCGCAACAAGGTGAAGTGCGGGTTGGTTCCACTGTTTGCGGGTTAATTGTAACAGTGTAGTTGCCCGCCCGAAAAAACAATCAGAAGTGCAAAAAACCACAGCTGTCCGCGTTGCATGCAGGCCCCACATTCCACCTTCCATGTTTGGAGAGAGCTTTTTTTGGCAGCTATACCACCTCCCAAAGACTCTGCACCCTCCCACCCTCCAAAAAAGAACAACAATCTCCTCACAGCTCTCCCCCTCTCCACCCCTCTGGACCCCTTGACGCGGACCCGGCGCCTCGGCGTTCTCGTTGAAGAGTTGGGCGGCTCGAAGGCCCAACCTCAACGGCGCGAGTGGCGCGGCTCCGTTGGAGGGACGCAACCAACAAAGATCAACAAAGGAAGGTTTGGGGGGGTCAATGTATAGCCATATATGATATATGGCCTTATATGGAGTGTCTGGGTTAGGTAAAGGTTCAAGAGCCCGAAAAAAGCAAATAGCACACCCAGACGCGACACGTCTGGAACTGCCATATGACTGGCGAGAAACGGCCAGGGGTGGGTGCCAGGTCCATGGGCGGCATTCCAGTCCCATGGAGTGTATGGGATAGGGTAATCCCAGGTGACGGGTCCTGCGTAGTTCAGGATGTTCAGGTCACTAAACCTCTCTTGACAAGAGAGTCTTGTCTGGCGCAAGCGGATCGAGAATCTCGGGTTCTGTTTTGTTGCGCATGTAGATATTAGTCTAAAGATCCAATATGATCCAATGTATGTGCATATATATACACATATTATATATCAGGCACCCTCTTTTATCTCTGTTAGTCCTGGCGGTATTGGTTGAAAACTATGTAGTGATTCATGTTGTGAAAAGGGAGTATTGTAAAATAAAACAAAACAACCCTTTATAAAAGAGGGTGTCTGATATAATGTACAAATAGACCGCTGGATGTCCAGTTCGATTGTGGGGACCACCAAAGTAAAGGAAATTCCCGAAATCGGGTCACCAAAACATTTTAAGGATGGTCTTGGACTCCCGGTCGAAATGAGCCATTTTTGTAAGGGACAGTCACCGATCACATCAATTGAACTGATTATAGACTATGTAGACTATATGTTCATTGGACACCCCTTGGAGGGTCCTGGTAGAGTCCGATTCTTAAAAGGTCTTAAAATGATTTAACCCAGAGACTCCATGGGACTGCCATAGGACTGCCGATCTGGCGCCAGACCCCCCAAACCCACCACCCCTGGCCTGTTCGGCAGTCCGTCCTGCCAGTCCCATGGAGTGATCTTTCGGTGACCCGCCAGGGAACTTCCTGTACGATTCGGTCCGTTCGCACACAGCGTCGCACATCGAACCTAATTAGGGCGAACCGTGAACCGGAGAACCTACCTGGACCATCCGACCAGAAGGGGTGTCCTGGCTGGACTACCCTGCACTACTTAGTAGGGATCTCCAGCCAGCACACCCAGAGGAAGGTTTTGGCATCAAAAGACTCCAGCTTGGATCAGGTGTAGGAAACACTCACGTTCGACACCTTGGGCGTTCGACCCGTTTTGCCGCGGTCCTCTTTTAAAGAGACGGACCCGCCACACGTGGCCGCCCTGATCAGACAAACAACGCTGGCTCAGACCCGCCACACCGGTTCGGACCCGAGGAAAACCCGGGTCCACCGTTCGGTGACGCGTCCCAGTTCAGGTCACCGAACCCGGCAAGATCCGCCCGACCCGAAGGAAACCGCGTGAAGGCGGTACGCGTCGCAGGCGTACGCGAACTCGGTGCAGCCGATCGGTTCGGGAGAAGAACCGGTCAAGCGAACTAGAGCCGTGTCAATGTGTCCCCAATCCCAAACAAAAAAGCTATAGCTGTTAGGGTAGGCCAGGGTATGCACTTTTTCCATCCTTTTTCCTGGCTAGGGCAGGGGACGGTCGATTGGGAGTTATCTTCGTGTGTTTGGTCAGGGGACGGTCATTCAACAACCCCACAAGTGGGGTGGTCATGCCATGAATATCCATAAATCCTGAAGAGCCAGGATACGGCCGACCGACTCTTGCCAGAAACCTGATCAGGACTCTGACCGTGGACTGGATCATACTCGATCCGTCCGCGCCCAAAAAGGAAAACCTTTTCCATCCCAGAGGTTGAAGGACCCATTTATATATATATATATATTATTACATAGGTACAGGTACCCCTGCAGTAATTATGGTCCTATTAACGGTCCCTTAACCTCAGTCCTTTTCCTCCACCCGCGGAACCCACCACCGAACGCCGGAGATCGACCCGCCGTCGTCTGACAGCTTCGCGTCGTGCGCCGGGCGTCGTGTTGCACAAGTGGATGCCACACGCGAAGATGGGCCTCGAGCGAAGATCTTCACCTCAGCTCAGATGGGGAACAAGCTACTAATTAGTAGCTCTCCTGGTGGAACAAGGACAAAAACGAACGGAACATTTTGGGCATCGCGACTCGAACGGAGCGATCGGACGCTACACGAGTAAGTAGCTCCTGGCCGAAACTACGAACAAGAAGACGCTACGAACGTAACGATCGGACGCTATGGGTCGTGTCGTGACCCACGAGCCCAGAAGAGACGAAACGACCAGGTCGCCCGGAACCAGGTCGGTCAGTCGTGTGCCCGGAGGGATCCCAAATCGGCATCACAATGGACCAGCACTCGACCAACGAATACCCAGACACGACACGTCTGGGACTACTGGACTGCCTTCAAAACGGCCGCCGGGGTGGTGGTGGTGTGAGGGAGGTCTGGCTTGATCGGCAGTCCGACATGGCAGTCCCAGGCAGGTCGTGTCTGGGATTCCTCCTGGGGCATCGTATTCGGTCTGGTGGACATGAGGCGATATGTTGATCGAGCTCATCAAGTGGCTGGCATTTCTGGGGCAAGCTTCAATTGCTTGGGCACTTCGACAGAAAGGCTGCACTGTCAGGGTACTCGACATTGCTGAACAAGGATTGCTTTGTGTGCCAGGATGTTTGCAAGTAAGTACTGCACTATATGACCGACCTACCCAGTCGGTCGTTCGCCGCATTTTCTGGACCAGGGCTCCAGGTTGAACGCTCCATCCCCAAATACCAAATACAAACACTCCATGTATGCCATATATGCCGAACAGTTGGGGTGGTTTGGGGGGGGTCAATGTAGGCATATATGGCATACATGGAGTGTTTGGGAGATACAGTACCATTTCAACAGATGTGTCTGAGCATGCAACACAAAAAACTGTAGGACCTGCGAGGGAGTGACTCGTACGTGTCGACAAGACACAAGACTACCAGTCAGTTGTAAAGCGACTGTACAAGGATCTGTCCAAACAAAACTGATCCTGTGGATCGACGTGACTGACCAAACAAAAAAGAAACATGAAAAGAGAGGTCTCTGGATTATAGTGGATTGAGAGTAGATGGCACAGACCCCAATGTCGGTGGTTTAGGACTGGACCCCTATATAAAGGACATCGAACCGGGGCTGTGCCATCGAACTATCGAACCTCTGAAACCACTGTGAGAGAGACTTATGGCTCGTTAGACCTCTGAGAGTCGTTCGAACGGAACGAGCTCAACACCGGTAACATGTTCGAACGCGTTCGAACGCTCGCCTCGATTCACTCTGAGAAACACCTCACATGGAAGTGGAGCTCCAGAAAAAACCGGTGGGCCATCCATGTCCATGCGAACGTGAGGACTGCGAATCTACACAGTCAAAACTCCCGTGCCGTGCTCCCCCCAACCCAAAAAGTCGGGCTGAGCGCCGAATTTAACCCGACCGATCCCGTAACAGCCATGCCGGTCCCTCTCCCACGCCCTCCCCTCCTCCCTCATTCAATTCAAATCGGACCAAAACACTGTGCAGGAGCCTCTCAGCGATCTGATTCAACGTGTTCTTCCTGCGCTTCTTCGGTCCGAACGGTTAATCGACCGACCGACCGTAAACCGGGGGGGGGGGGGGGGGGGCAACAACCTACCGACCTACCGACCGGTGGAATGGTCGTTTTCAAGGGGTGGACTTGATGAGAGCTCGACATGGGCGAGCCCGAGCGAGCGAGCGAGCGATCGGCGATGGCGCCCAGAGGTTCGAAGCGGTACTTCTTCCCTAAAAAGTTCGCTTGGTGGACGATCGACCTTATACCCAGACACTCCATGTATGCCATATATGCCGAACAGTTGGGGTGGTTTGGGGGGGTCAATGTAGGCGTATATGGCAGTCCCATCAGTCGTGTCTGGGATATTAGTCAGGGTGAAAACACCGCCGCACCGTTCAGAGAGAACTCAAAAGGCTCCGCACCATGTGGAAGAAGGTGGCGGAAAATCCCGTATATTTTGGCTTGTTTAGAGAATGGTGTTTGCAGGATTGGATAGTGGCCTTAAGGTCTGTCGCTCTTGATTGGAGGAGCGCCATTGCAGTTCATGGTGCTCAATGGTGCTCTTTTTCTGCAGGTTGATGTTGGTTGAAGAGTGAGAACACGATTATATAATTGAAATCAAGAACTCTGGCTTCACCAAGCATGTCATAGGCTACACCGGGTATAGTCTCGGAATCCAGGATCTGTTCATGGCACCAAACAGACTCACCATGACTTGGCAAATCGCGAGGGATGCGTGCGAGGGATGCGTGAATGGATTGGCGACGATCTTCGAACATGTTCGGGTACCAGGACTATGACAATGTTCCTTTTTGCGCTTGAAGAACTGCAGTGACAATAACAGTGAGAAGAGCGAGTTCGAGCTCCCCAGAAGCCCCAGAAGCCCGATAGGAACATCTGGGGATACTCTCCCTGGAACTAACATGGAAGTGGAAGACCCTTTGCTTGTAGAGGAATATGGTCTTCCATGGGGCCATGTTCCACTTCCATGTTGGTTCCACGGCAGTGTAGATTGATTTGGGGATATGACTGTTTTACTGGGATCAACGGCCTGTCCCTTGATGGCTCCGCAGGTGGGGAGAGACGGACATAGGGTATGAACACACAAATGCACCTTTGCCAACCTTTGCCCATAGAGGGGTGTAGAGAAACCTCCAACCAATGGGTTTTGGTCGATGCCCTTTCTTCCAGTGGTCTTTGGGAGGTCTCCCTATTCTAACACACATCCGTTCCAAACTCTTGATTCATCTCAAAACCATGAGTCTACATGACCCCCCAAACCCTGAAACTTCACGCTCCAAACACGACCTATACCTCGCTTTTCTTGGCTCCCACGAAACTTCCTTGTCACCAATACGAGATACTTGCTTGCCAGTTCTCCAAGGGGCTTTTTCAGGTCCACCTTCAAGGTGTACATGGGAATCGGCCACCTCACTCGACCGGTACCGGTCCTCCCAGTCGCGACCGGTCATACAAAAGTGGCAGGTCCATCATCCAATGTCTAGCAGCTAGTCTCGCTGTTGGTCGCCAGTTGAGAGTGTCAAATCTTGTTGGATCAATACCTTGAAACCAGAGCGTAGACTGTTCTGCAACATAGCGACAAAGAGATAGAAGGCTATGCAAAGGTAGCCACTCACATGCCATAGCATATCTAGCATTTTATCAATGCACTACAGAACCACGCAACCGCACTCACACATAGCTTATGCATACTTATGCTGCATGCCAATGTACCTGGATCTTTATGCTGTTGGACGCCCAAAAATCGACGCCTTAAAACGTCACAAATGTGCCTGTTTCCTCCTCGTGACGGTCACCTTTGGGGAAAGAAGCTGTAACTGCATGTTGTCTGAAAAAGCATTGTTTCTCAAGTTACAGCTTTCGTCAAACAGTGCCACCACGGAGTTAGGATGCACAGACTTGGGTCTGACCATGCTGCTGCAGCAACCTACCGCAAGCCTTCAAATCTACTCACACTCACCCAAAGCCGTCCATTAAAAGGCACGGTGTGTTAGCACAGTTTCTATCAGTGTCTACTTTGCAGCAACACGTACCGACAGTCTCTTGGTTGCCAACCTATTAGAAATACATGGTGCCAATATGTGCCAATGATACTTTGCTGAAAATTGCAGATCAAAACCTGTCTGGCATTGAAACGGGCCTTTGGCGGGACCTTGGCCCCAAAACCCACCTGTGCCAGACCAGTCATCCACCAGCCGAGCTCACATGGTCCGTGCTCCTCTGCGCGGAAGGGCGATGCGCCAAGCCGCGGTAGCTTGTAGATGTGTTCCACCGAGGTGCTTCCGCTGGAGTTGTCCACACCTTAACCGTGTCCCCACAGCGCACCGCAGCGCGCAGCACCGCACCGCGCAGCACGTCCGGAAGCAGCGACCGGGACCCCGCGACCCGAACCCCGGGTCACGCTCTACGCTAGACGCGCAGACCGTGGAAGCGTCCCGTGAACAAGGCGTTCGGGGAACCTGGGGAAGCCGAAGCTGCCCCTTGTCCCACCAATCATGCGTTCGGGAAAGAAGCGTTCCGCAGCGGGGAACACCGGAAACTCGATGCCTCGGGCCGTTTCGATCGATCGACCCCTGAGGAGATGAAGGTGGGCCAAGACTTCCGTTTGTGGTGGTTCGTGGGGTCACTCCCCAAAAGGGCAGGTGACCTGCATGCAGGTGATCTCCACACCTATCACTTCGAATTCGGGAGTCTGGAAAATTCGACCAAAAAAAGCAGCCCGAGCCGCGGCTACCAAAAGAGGTTGAAGAACCCGTTTTTGATCAGCAGGGTCCTAGAAGGTCACTTAGCTTGCTAGGGAAGGTGTTTGTTTCTTGTGAAGAAATTCGGTCAGGTCTCTCGTGTGATCGGGCCAATTTGAGACAAGGCATTTTGTCGTAAAAAGCATCGCCTCCCAAGCCGAATTCATCAATCGATCTCTGGACAATAAGGTGTTTTTGTTTAATGGTACATGGAGATGTAAACTGTTTTTGTTTTTTTCTGGAGGGGGTTGGGTGTTTTCTGGAGGAAGGCCATATGAAAAAAGAAACGTGCAAATGCGCACGATTGTCCAAGTCCAAGTGCAGGCCAGATGCCCATGTTGGGATAGCTCATGTCCTCAGAGCAATAAATTTAAGACAAAGCTTGTTCTTGCCCGTAAATTGTTTCGTGATCCTTAGTGACTTAGTGTCAGTAAAACATACACCGCACCTCGTAAAGCCAACATGGAATTTGAAAAAGATACAAAACGATAACAGACTGTTTCAGGGAAAACTCACCTTGGAGAGGGGCCTGCCGAAATGTCCATGTGTGTTTTGCAGATCACTACCCAAACACTCTGGACTGCCATAGGACTGCCGATCAGTTGGGGTGGTTGATCTGGGGGTCTTTCTGGGGCAGAATGTATTCCAGTCACTGAGGCGGTTTTCTGGGGCGGGGTTCTGGGCTATAGTCACACACCCACACACTCCATGGGACTGCAATAGTATGCCGCCCCGGAAAGATCCCCCTTTCAGGGCAGTCCACGTGTCGCTCAACTCCCGGGACAGACGGGACAGACGGACGAGTTCCTTCGTGGCGAACCGGCTCCTGCGATGTGCGGAGATTTCCTCGCCAGTGCGTGCCAAGTCTTTGGTCCGTGTCTCCCGTTCGTCCAAGACCGCTGAAAAAATCGTTGACCTGGTGTTGCAGTACAATCTTTATAGAAAACCTGTTGGTAAGACATAGTCAAACAGCTCGGTTCTACGGAATTCCGCGCCCCAAAAGAAAACATCTATTGCGTGTGGGCCTGGCCCCTGGCAGTCGCAGCATCCGGGCAAATGCAGTTCCGATTGAACCATGGAGCCTCCTCTCCCGATTGAACCATGGAGCCATCAGGCAGAATTCCTTGACCTTCTCAGGTGGCAGCAACTCTGCCAAAAGCATCGAGAGGAATCTCAGACATGCGAAGCTGCGTGAAGCTGCGAAGCATGCTGGAAGTGTCTGGTGGAGTGGTCGGTTCCAAAGAATATCGGTCAACCAGATCAACCGAGCAAGAAACACCTGCCCAAACGCTCATGGGCCCTCATATGGAGGGGTCTGGGGTCTCAAATCCCTAGGTTTTGAAGGACCAAGGGTTGTTTGGAGCGTCTGGGTGTGTGTTTTTTAGCGTTTCTGAAGTGTGGTTTCAGTTGGTTCCAGTATGAATATATGTTTAACCCGGATGTAGTTCGTTGCTTCCCAGTTTGTTCCATGCATGTCACGCCTAAAACCTGATTGACCATGATTGACCACTGTTTTGGAGCCAAAACTTAGTCAACTTCCTATCAAAGCAGTTCGGTCATGCCTGGGTTCGGTTCGGTAAATCAAACTGATGAATGAACGATGAACCCTGGACCCTCGGTGTGGTGGGTCCCCATCGTTTTGGCCCGGCCGCCCTTGTTCAATAAAGGGTTCACGGCCCTTCCTTCATGGCTCGTCGCGTTCGCAAAGGGCTCACACGAGCCTTTCTCCTCCCGAAGCGGCGTGAAGCTGGAACTCACTTACCAGTTGAAAAAAAAATAGAGAAGAAGCTAGAATCAATGGCCCCCAACCTAAGAGCCATGGCCTCCAACTACTAGCGATGGCCTCCAACCTAATGGCGATGGACTCCAACTACGAGCGATGCCCTCCAACCAAATAGCGATGGAAAAACTTAATTTGTCAAACATACCCCCAAACTACACTCACACTGCTGGTGTCCAAAGTCAGATCTGCTGCGCTGTCCTCCTTGGCACAATCCTCATCCACCCACACCCATGCAAAACGACGAGCCACCCGTAGCCAGCGCCCAGGTCCAAAATGCAAGCCTCGCCACCCGGGATTGTGCAGTGAATCAGTGGAAAGCAGAAACGGAAGTCTTGGATGGCTGCCCAGGAACCTGGAAAAACAGAAAGATTCGATAGAACGGGATATACCCATATAGGGAATAACTGTTTGAGTATAAGCAAAACCCTGCAGGATGTTGTGCGTGTGGAGATGAAATAGACTTCGATTACGTAGATTGTGTGCTTGAGGACATTTGAAGGCATGTGGTGGACAATCGCAAGAGAAGAGAGCATGTGGTGAATGCTCTTCATATGATTCATTCGTCAATCCCCTGTCCAAACTCATGTTCTCTCGGCAAACCGCTGCATCGAATCGGATCCAAATCTGGTCCAGCAGTTCCAAAAGGGTACTATCATATTACATGGCTATGAGTCAAAAACCATGGGAGCTTGGTTGACCATAGAAAATGAACAGAATAGACTACCGGGGACGTCAACATACCGGGTGAGTTCCCGGCTCCAGGTTTTGACCCACTGCCGGTGGCTCCAAATGGAGACCTCCCAGGCAACGATCTCCTGGAAGGTTTGGATAATAGACCAGTCTGCCCGGCCAGGGCCAAGGGGGTCTCCGACAGGTCACCGCTTGAGACCGGCCGCCAGCACTGACCATCCCACTCTACCGACGCCCACCGACCCGCCCACCGATCATGGCGAAAGTGCTTCGCGCCACCACGCCACGCGCCAGCCCGCGCCACGCGCCACCGCGGCACCGCGAAGCGCGCCTTGGGAGAACTGCTGGGCAAAGCTTCGATCCACTCCCGCACGCGTTGAATCACTGGTGCTGATTCGTTCCTCGGTCCGTTCGATTGCACTACATGCGACTGGAATGCTGCCCATGGACCCCCCAGGCAGCCACCCCTGCGCCGTTTCTCGGCAGTCATATAACAGTTCCAGACGTGTCGCGTCATGGGATTCGTCTTTTTCGGGTCCTTCAACCTTTACCTAACCCAGACACTCCATGTATGCCATACATGGTTGACCCCCAAAACCACCCCCAATGTAGGCATATATGGCATCCATGAGAACAGTCATCTGGAAATGACTGCAGACCAGCCTTTGGGGTGTCAGGCTTTGTTGGTTGCGCCCCTTACCGCGGGGACTTGCGCCGTTGAGCTTGGGCCTTCGAGCTGGCCAACTCTTCAACGAGAGCGCCGAGGCTTCGCCGAAGCGAGAGGGGACCGCGAGAGCTGTCTGCGACGGGGCAAACAATGGAGCCAGTTGCTTTCAACTTCTTGCTAAGTTAAGGACTCCGGTCAGCATGGGCAAGTTCAATGCAATGAGCGCCACCGAACACAAGCGAAGATTGAAAACCAAAAACAGCAAGATAAAAATGTGCGACCAAACAAATAATAATGATAGCAAACGAGCCAGGGTGGAGTCGAACCACCAAGTAAAATGTGCTTCAGACCAGAGCAGTCTGCAAGACAGCGCCTTACCCATTAGGCAACTGGCTCTGCAGCTTTGAAAAAAAAAGCAAATTTGATTCAATGTTTGCAAGATACTCAAATGGGTGGGTCTCTGCACATCTTCCTCTGGTGAAAGGCGAGCGCCGCCAAATATAGCTTATCGCCAGCGAGTGGAGTGAACAAGGGCGCGTCGATTTGCAAAGGGATACTATCGATGGAGGTCAGGGGCGCCCTTGTGACATGCACTCACTGGATGGGACTGCGTCGATGAAGTGGTGGCTGCGGCTACGGCCCCATGGATCCCAATGTGCTTGTTCATGCTTTTTCTTTCTATCGTTTTCCCATTGAATGAAAAGAGGTCTGTTCTTGGGTAAGTTGGGAAGTTGCTTGGAGGATGCTCATCTTGACAAGCACTGCCCACCGAACCATGCCAAAGCCGAAAAAATTCCCCAAGCTCCAGGAACCCTTCGACTCTGTCCGTGCTCCGCCTGCTCCGTTCAAAGCCAGGCGTCAACTCCTTCAACACGCTGGGCACTTGGTGTGCCGAGCCCTCCGGTTCCGCCGAGGGAGGTTCCGCCGGTTCGGATGGAGCGGTTCGGACGGAGCGGTGATCCAAGGCTTTTTGGATCTGTTTTGTTGGGGGTCTCCGCTCTCTTGGGAACTCCAAAGGATTTGATCGAGCAGTCTTGGGAACTCAATGGAACTCATTTATGATTTCATATGAATACCAGCACCTTCCAACAGATCTCCTCTGGAGGCTTTTGTAGACTTAAAAGTCGCAGGGGTCAGGGTATATGATGGCATTCTTGATCCAGGATCACTTCAAGGCTCTCATATCGCCACGATCCATGTTCTCGAGCTCCTGGGGCTCAATCCAGCGGTTCCTGCACACTCCCAGCTCGACTCGAGGTCCTCTCGATGCCTTGCAGATCTTCATCATGCGGCTCCAAACCTTCAAGGGGAGCCGCTGGTACCACTTCTCCAAGATCTCCATCACCTCCCGAACGAACCCGAACGAACGAACGACTTCGATATACTACGACGACGACGTCGACGACTGGACGGTCGAGGAAGGAAGGAGTCGTCATGGCGACCGGCGGTCGACCAGGTCGTGGGTGATCCGAAAACACGAAGACAACGGACACGTTGCGACTGGTGCGGGAGATGGGCGTGGCCATGGGCTTCTTGGGATGGGCTTCTTGGGTTTAGGGACACCCAGACAAGTCCGGACACCAATGGGACCAGCTCGAAATTGGATGACTTGTGTGAAGCTGAAAGATGTGAAGATACATGCACGCAATGAGATACATGCAGATGGCTTCGAATCCATGTTGCTTCGATGGTGCTGGAGCACGATAGTTGTCTTTGATCAATATATACGACTTAAAGGAAACATCCCAAAGGTTCAAGTCTCCTTTCATGGATCCCGACCTCCTCGCAGAGCTCAGGGAAAAGCTGATGCACTGGCAACTTCTCCAACTGCTCCTGGTCGCGATACAACGATGGTCGGTGACTGGAAGAACCTTGAAGTATTCAACTGGGTGTCTAGACTAAGTTCCTTGGTAGCTGAACTGCTCCTGGTTCCCGGTCGACAGGGCTCGACAGAGGTCGGTCGACAGAGCTCGGTCGACAGAGGTCGGTCGACAGAACCTGAGTTCAACTATCCCAGTTGGATACCCCAGAATGGTTCTATTTACTTGTATTTTACGGTCACCTGACCTCTCTCGGAATTCATTTCCACATATAGAACTCCATTAAGGTTCGGCTCTACAGATGTGTGCCATGCTGTCCACCAGTCCACCACCTCCGACTGGATTCAGTGAGAGAGGTGCCGGGTGGACGGGGTGGACTACGAACCGCCCACTACGCTACGTAGGATCTGGATTCGACACCACTTTGGATGGTCTAGTGTAGGCTCTTGATTTAAAAGAAAAGACCATCAGTTAGAGGATGTTAGAGGATGTTAGAGGTTTTACCATCTAAGTGAATCTAAGTGGGTACAAGTATTTTTGTAACTCAAGTCTAGAATAGCATAGAATAGCTATTAAGTTATGATCCTGTCCTCTTCTTCTGTCACCCCGCTCGCTCGAGCGACCACGAACGATCCACCAAGAGATCGAGGTTCAGTGATGTGAAGAGCGAGTCGAAGTGATCGGGGACACGGTCGACCTGGGACCCTGGGACCCTTCCGAGTCGAACCAGGGAAACCTGTTCGTTGGCAGTTCTGTTGACAGTTCTGTGTTCCTGGCAGAATTCGTTCTGCGGCAGCAAGAACGAAAGAAGTCCAAGTCACGATGATCCGAGCGACTGGTCAAAGAAAAGTTCGGAGTTCATGAGAACCTCTAGCTTGTTCATGCCCTGGTCGGGTAATCCCCTCTATAAATCAACCATATTCACAAGCAAAAGGCCGGTGCCCGGTGGAAGGTCACCATGTGCTGATTCTAAAATTTAGATCAGCCAGATGAAGCTGCATCCATGTTTGAATCAGTTGCTCGAAATCCATTTTCAACCTGCCAAAGTCCATGAGACCTGTCTATACCTTGGAATTTGCTTATTCGGAACTCGCAGGAAAGTAAAACTTCCCCAGTCAGGATTGGGATCAATAAAGCAACCCTAAGGGCGCAAAATCAGGATAACCCATGTAGTAGCAATCTCCACATGGGTGCGTATTCAATTAGGAAGACCTCCCACTTCGACCCCCTTTTTTCAGTTTGGAAAATAGATCAGTCTACCAGTCTACCCATTGATTACTCAAATACTCAAATTCACAGCCATGAAAAAGCAATACTTACTTCGGTGTGTTCGCTTACATGTCCATCGCCTTCAGAGCTCTTCCTTTCTAGTTCAGCCTGACCTGGACTGCCTGAGGTCGAAAAATACACCCCACCCACCTCCGCGCTCCACCCTCCGCGCCACCCGCGCCCCACCCGCGCCTTCAGCTGCACCGGGCTCCAGCGTGAGCCGCCCGCCGCTGGCGCCTCCAAGGGCCTCGGAGGGATCGGACGTGTCGATGGATTCAACAGGGCTTCTGCAGTTCCAAGCAGAAACAATTCTGGTTGGAGCTCAGCAATGTTGAGATATGTTAATTCATTAGTGGTATCATATAATAATGTAAAATATATACTATATAGTATAAATAGATAACATAATATAAAATATGTATAGGATTTGGCTGGGACGGACGCATGCATGCATGTGTTTCTGGTCGTTTCTGGAAAACTCCATCCCAACAATGATCTCTCAAGCAGTGACCGGGAAGTGTTTTAAAATCACATGGTCCTCCTGGCACCAAGATGCACTGCCCAAACGCTCATGGACCCTGATATCGACAGGGGTCAAACCCGAATCCTCTGGAGGGGTCTGATGTTTCGAAGCCAATCCCGTCAAGGGACCGGTCGGACTGTGTAGGGGTCGTGCGCACGATGACCTGTTGCCTCCATGACCTGCAGTGCGATGTGACCAGTGCTCCACCTCGTTGGGTGCACAAAAGTCGACGTTTCGATGGCCAGGGCCTGCGGTGCCTGTTGAAAAAAAGAGACGACACATGTGACGCGCCAGTTGATCCACAGTATGGCAAAAAGACATATCATAGCGTGTCACCAACATGTCCAAAAAGAACACGCAATCCATCGAGCCATCTAAAGGTCTACCAGGTCCATCTAAGCTGCCGATCAAAGCGCTGCTTCCCCACCGGTCTGAGTCTACCTCTTCGCCGAGGCACGCGGAGACCGTCTCCGGGCGCACCTCCGCTCCACAGAGCGCTCCACCGAGCGCTCCGAGCGCATCAGCGAGGCTTGGACGTTCGAAGAGGCCGATGCCCTCGAGGTGTGCCAGTTCCATCGGCCAAGGTCCCCCGTGCCACTCCCCGGTCGACGCGCGGAGGAGGGTCGTGCGGGGACGGGCGCGTTTTGAGCGCTTCGCGCGAAGCCTCCGCGCTTGATGGGTGGGCGCTCAGGCTCTCTTGTGGCGGGGTTCAGTCATTGACCTTGCCCACTGGTGCTGAAACTTGGATGTCCAATCTGTTTGAATTGGGTTCGGGTGACCTTTCTACAGCTTTCAAGAACTCGCCGACCGCACATCGAAAGGCTAGTTCAGGGGCCTATTGTCAGGGCATGGATTGTATCTCAAAGCGAGTTGATCGTTGAATCCCCAAGCGGCCCCAAGCGCGTGTTTCATTTGTTTCTAAGACAAGAACGTTCTGGGGCTCAGGTGTTCTCGGAGTGGGCTGTGAGGCTGGAGTTGTTTGGCGGTGCCTTTCATGGGCACTGTAGTAGATTATTGACTTAAATTTGATCCTGCTGGACATGTTCATGTATATCGATGATTGTTTCTAAGGCAAGCTCGAGCCATTTGTCAAAGGCGCAGAAGATCAGCACGGCGTGCTCTCGTGGGAGTTGAAATGCGACAGTTTGATGTTTTTCACAGTTCGGTTGGCCCGTTCAACTCATTTTCACGGGCGATTTCTGACCCCTTTGGCCATGAAGACATGGCGGCGAGCATCGAAGAAGTGACAGAGCAGTCCCTATAGAAGGTCTGATCACAGGTTCTCTTGAATACCACCAGCAGTCGCCCACAGCAGGCTTGCCACTGCAGTCGCTACACCGGCCGTTTGGGACTGGGTTCGAGAACCGTCACGGTACCGTCACGGTCACGGTCGACGCGACACAAAAACACCGGGGGGATCAACCGGATGGACGAGGGGATGCCCAAAATCACCGGCACCGGATGAACTGCCAAACCCAGACACGACCTGCCTGGGACTGCCATAGGACTGCCGATCGATTGACCCCGCAAAGCACCTCAACTGATCGGCATATATGGCAGTCCCATGGAGTGTTTGGGAAAGTAATCCATCTGCTGAATGGTTCATCTAGCAATCCCAGCGATGAACAGACCAACCGAATTCGTTGAACTGCTCAAAGAGAGAAAGAGAGAAGACAGATCCACCCGTTCTGGACCCATCTTGCCATCTTACCATGCATTTGGCCATCGAGATGCATTTCCCCCGTCTGTTGGGTCGCAAGGAGGTGGTTTCGCTAGGCTGCATTGCTCTTTTCTTCTTCTCGCTGGATGTTCTTCACCCCATCATCCATCGTCCCCCCTGCAAATTCGCAGGAAAAGCCAGGGCAGGTGCGGACAGCGAGGCTCGGACATGGCAGGAGGTTGTTTTTTCAAGATAAACCTAAGCACTCAGAGGCAAATGCCATCCAAAGACCCCTGAAAGCATGTGGAACTTCACAAGTCCCCAAAGATGGGGGTTGAAGCCCCTCATTGGTCAAAGCCGATGCCATTGCCCTTGCCACCACTGCTTGCGTCAGGCTTCATGTGAATCTTTATCTCACACACACACACACCAACCACTAGCAAATCCGCAGCTCTTCCTGGCTGCAGCTCCTATCCTTCAATTAAAGCCCCGGGCAAGTTCGGGCCTGTCAAAGCTCGCTGTCTCTCTGATTTGCTCCTCTATGTTTGATCTTCAAGGACATGGAGCTGCAGCGGAAGAAAGTGCACGCAAGGAACGATGACACCGCTGCATCGCCTGCTGCTCTGCGGCGGGGTTCTACCAGGGATCCATGAGGGACACTGGACTTGCAGCCTGCGAGTTCAACCCTCACCGCCTACTGGCAGTGAAATACAGAGGACGCTAGGCTCTCGTTCCGTATTGAACTGCTTGATGATGTCAGAACGTTCCTGCATCTTGGTCTTGCCAGAAATGTACGAGAGCAAGTAACACTGTGCTCCTTCAAGTGGTACCCAATGGCTCAAGAAAGTGAACAAAGCTAGAGGCTGGTACCATGCCTTGTCTTCAGCCCCATGCAGATTCAATCTGCGTCCTTCTCAGGCAGGGATCCTCAGTGGATGCGTCATCGAAGACCGGTCGACTGGGTCTGTCAGCCCCGGCTGTGGGTCTGTTCACCCGGTGCCCATTTCAACTATAGCCTAGTAGCGTTTCGGCCACCAGGTTGACCTGGGGCGTCGTCTTCTGTTCATGCTTCCGTGGTGGTAGAGACCCCAGGGTCGCGAAGGGTGCGCAGACCTACATCCATGTTATATTCTGCATGTCAACATGTGCAACTTCTGGATCTGAAGCATCCAGAAGTTGTGGACCAAATACACTGGACCAGCGGCGGAGGTGGATAGATATATACATCATCTGGCTCCCGAGTCGTTTGGGTCGGAAAATCAAGGTGGTGAACCTTTTTCGCCCGACTCACTCCCGAGCTGTTTCCCTAACCAAACTTCCCACCTGTTCTTGTTGAGTGGTGTGTGTGTGTGTGTCCCCAGTTACCCCAGTTACCCCAGTTCCGTTTCGACTGGGTAGGTCGAAGTCCAGTTCCATGTAGTGCCCCAAAGGTTTCGGGAAGTTCCTGGACCGTATGGGGTCACCGTATGGGTGAGGCACTTCCTGTCTGGGTGCCCTGGAGTAGGAGAAGGGTAGGGTAGTCTAGCCAGGACACCCATTGGATGATCCTGGTAGTCAGACCATCTTGAAAAAACTGTTGACTGAACGTTCCGCCTCTTCGTTTTGAGTGGGGTATCTCCAATCCCCCCCAAAAAAAGTGTTGCAGGTGATCCTTTAAACTCCAAGGGTAGGTCATTCTTTCGCTGGGCAAACATCATGCGAGACACAGCTGTTGCAAGGCCGGACATCTTTGGGGACTGAGTGTATCTTCCTCCTCCTTGTTGGTTTGAGGTGTAATTACCCAAGTTCCACCCAAGATTTGTTTCGCAGCACCTTAAGAAGTGCACATTAAAATCCATCAGAATATACAGGGTTAGGGATCCAAGTACCTTCGTTTCGAAGGTGTTCGGGCTGATTGAAAGGTCCAAGTACCCTTCTGAGGAGGTATGACTGGATCCCAAACGGGCAGTATACTCTCCCGGACGTCCATTCTGGAATCCTCCTCAACCCATCAAACCTCGCCCCCCCTCTTCTTCGTCCCCTGAGCTTGCCACGCGACCCATCAGTTCCCCCACCAGCTGCGACACCATCGGCAGCGCCGGTTCCACCGGCGGATGCGGCACCGGCGGTGGCAGCGGTTGCGGCGGCACGGGTGGGGCCGCAAGGTCCTCAGTGTCCTGCAGGGCGTGGAAACTGAGATGTTGGCGCGACTGAGATGGAAAATGAATCCAAATGAATTCCCAGAACTGAGTTGATGAGTTAGTTAGGGCCATTGATTGGATGAATTTCTTCACGGTGTTGTGCATAGTGCATGGTGTTTGGGGAATCAGGAACTGGAATGCCGACAGGGGAACTTGAATCTACACTTGGAAGTCCATCATGGAAGTGGAACAGTTCAGCCCCGGAAGACCATGTTCCTCTACTTTCGGGGGTCCTGGTCAGCTTCCATGATTGTTGCAGGGAGGGTATCGCTCGGCACCGTTGTTTTTTTCTCCTTCAGCAACTCCCAGCGGGTCGGCCACGGCGAAGTCACGACGACGACGACGACGTCGACGACGTCCGGAGGCCGAACTTCCCACGGAGACGGTGCGGAGAGTTCCGCGTAGAAAGACCAACAGAGGTGGGTCAGAACCCGACTGTTCGACTATCCCAGTTGGGTACCCCAGGTGTTCCGGGTCCTATGAAACCGGTCGACAGGTGACCTCTCTTGGTGGCTCTTCAGTGGACAGGCATCCTTCGGGTTGAGGCCGTGGGGACTGAAAAGCATCTGAACTCGTTCGTCTCGCGTTGCCTCGTTTCGAGCCCCCAAAAAAGGACATGTTCAGCAAGCACTCTTCCTTGTTCCCAGTCTGGAGGGAAGTCCTGTGAGATTTCCTTGGGTGATCCTACTCTCCAAAACGACAGTCTTCATCCTGCTCCTCTTCAAGGGGGCTCTATTCTTGCTGAACTCAGCACGGATGTACTGTTGTCATGGGTCCATTCTTTCGGGGGGCACAGATCTTAGACATTTGGACATGTCTGCTTACTGAGCGCTCGCGCGTGTCCCACCCCGTGTCTCCAGCCTGAAAAAACCAAGCAGGTCACGCCTGCTTGGATTTTGCGCGCTTTTGGTGCATGATCACTTCTGCCCATTTCTGCCCCCCATTAGATTTACCAGCCACATATCGAATCCCCCCGTCCTCTTCCGATAAGCACAGCTCGAGCGGTTCTTCCTGACAAGCCAGCTCTTCAGTGTGGAATCACTCAAAGCGTGTCAGCAATTCTCCAAATACTGAGTGGAAGGATGCCATGTTTTCCCTCGATCTGGCAGAGCTGTTCAACTGAAAATATTCAAACATCCTTTCGTGGTCTCCACTACAATGGATTCGACCAAAAGGGTTCCGCGGCAAACGCGCGACCTTGGCTGCGAGGCGGATCTCGGGCAAGAAGTCTTCATTCCTGGCGGTGTTCGGACCAAATGGGTGGCATGGATTTTCCAGCTGTGTCAAGTACTCATAGCAAGGGGCAGTGAGAAAGATCATGTTGGTTTCTCGAGATGAATCACCGCAGGATCAAACTAAAGGGAGCTTTGACCCACCATTAAAGACAGCAATCATAGAACTTGCGAGAAGCGTCGTTGATTTGAGAACAAATGAATTGGCAAAGTCGTACTTCCACTGTCTCGCTACAACAGTCTTAGAATCTGCTGAGCAGAAGTTCCTGGGCCTTACGCCTATCTGCCAATCCTGCGTGCAGATTCGACTGTCCCAAGCAGCTGCTGCAAGCCGGGCGGAGAAGAGCAGCACCGACCCAAACCCAAACCCAACCAGTGGGGTCCGACCCAAACCTGCCGGTGGGGAGGTCGCAGTTTTTGACTAGACCAAAAAGGCACCCCTCCAAATTCCGCGTTTGGCACACCTCAAAACCATCACCCCTGCACCATCCGCATCCCATGGACAGGCTGATCACAGGCCGGCAGAACGCTGCATGGACAGCTGGACCTGGCGGTCCACTTCTGTGAAGGCATTCCGTTCGACCACAAAGTAGAGCACCCAACTCCCCAACGTGGAAGTTGGGCAGGTGTGATATCGGAGTTGCAAGTGGGACCGAATCAAATGGAACTGAGCTACCGACAAGCTAGACCAGCTACAGTAGAATTGACCTTCCTTCCCCACCCAGCAGCACCCTGCTTTGGAAGGTTTCACCATGGGTCCCAAGCCCATCAGTCGCGAGGCTTCCAGTTCTGGGCGTCACTCAGGCTCACAGGCAGCCGTCCCTGCTGGAACCATGGTTACGTGGAGCGCTTGTGCTTCACTCCAAAAGGCAAGTCTTTGGTCTTCAGGGGCCATGAAAAGGACAGGTGAAAGGTGAACCGCTGGTTTGGAAAGGTGAACTGCGGGTGAACCGATAGGATGATAGGATGTAGGACCGCAAGAGATGGGCCCCGGTCCGGCACTTTTTGCTCAACAACTTCGACTCGGTCGGCCTGGCTGCGCGTGCACCTTCCTCGGCGCGCTTCTGGGCTGGAGCTCCTGGCAAGGCGGGAGAGAACTGGGAAAAAGGGCGGAAAAGGCACAAAAGGTGAACCAACAACAGTCTACCTGTTCTTGTTTAGTGTGCTTTCCCCAATCCATCCACTTTTCCTGGGTCGGCCTGGCTGGGGTTGGGTTGCTCAGGCTGTGCTTCATGTCATACTGGAAAGAATCCTTTCCATATGACTTGTAGTTCAGCAAAAGCCGCTGTTTCTGGGCAAAGGCATCCAGAACATGAACATCCGAGAGCTCGTGAAGAACCCCAGCTGGTAGTCGCAATCCAACATCACAAAAATCCAACACTACGAGCTTTCAGGGCACTGAGCTTTCAGGCCATCTTACTTGGCACTGCGAGCTTTCAGGCCGTTCAACATGTGGCGGCCGCTGCTTATCCAACGAAGGCTGCCAGTCGCCCAATCCTTTCTCGTGCAATCCTGCTTATCCACTGACTGGGTAGGTGTGTTCTCCCTCCCCCCCCTCTCTCTCTCTCTCTGTCTGGGGCCTTCCAGCCTCTAAAATGATGGCATGGACCAGCACACAGGAAAACCCGCACGTACACGGCTGGACAAGGATACTAGATCCGCAACCCTCGGTTTCGCCCACCTCCCATCCTCATCCCGCAATGAGCCCAAGCACCAAGAGAGTCCAGGGGACCGGGATCTGAAAGCATTAAAATCCACTTCGTTGGCAGATCTAAGTCCCACCTCTTCCAGACCGCCATGGCAGTGATCGAAGTCAGACGTCTTTGTCTGCCGCAGAGTAGCTGCGTCTCGCGGCGACCCCTCCTCCGTCTGTGTCTCGCGCTCCGCGAGCTCTGCGCGTGGCCGCGGCTGCTTTCCGCTGCTTTCCGCGCCTGGACGTGAAGCTGGGCGTGGAGCCAATGGCACCAGAACTGAGGTGGATACCCGGTCAGTCAAAAAGAAACATATGTTTAAAACAAACAAGGCTCTACCCCCAGACCCCTAGAGTTAAACGAGAACCCTTCGCTAAGCATTCGGGAAAAAGTGTATGATTCTTTTGACTAAGGCATGGAATAGTTTGAAGGCCATGGGTGTTTTGGGCGTATTGTTACATGATTTTTGTGATTTCATTTGGCAGACCAAAGACAAGTCTTCACAGAACAGCAGGGGCTGCTGGATTTCCAGTTGGCCATCTTCTGAAGCCGAAAGAGGATTAAGAGTGCTTTTGGATGTGGCATCAGGAAAAATGTGGGAAAATGGTGGAGAGGGAACGAAGAGGAAGCGCATCTTGGAAAAAATGTCTTTAGATCGTCTCTGCACACTTTGAACTCTGCAGTGTCGACATCAATCTGTTCCATGGGATCCTGTACGGGGGAGTATGTTCCAGCTGGCCGTGCGCGAGAGGCGTGCGGAGAGTCTCGTCGTCGTCTCGTCTCTCTAGCGTGCTGAGTCACATCGTCCGTCTCCTGAGTCGTCCTGCACAGATCTGCAGAGCTGGGCACCCCAACCATCTCCACCAACAAAAAGCCGCGTTTCATCCAAAAAGCAATGACGAAGACCTCGGCCTGCTTGGCCCGGCTTTTGGAGCTCTTCTGGCCATGCAATCGGTTCTAAAAGCAGCTCAGCCCCTGGCGCCGAAATTCCGTGTCTGGGCAGGAAGGGTCGCCCGGGACGTCCGCGTGCGAAGGAGGACACTCATCGTTTTCCACTCAACCACTGAACTCACGGTGGTTTACAGTGGGTTCCCATCACTTTGCCATACTTTGCCCATTCACTAATTCGCCTCTACTCACATCACAAGCCTCGGATTACCATCCGTTTGGGGAACGGTCGAGGCCATCACATCTGAACCAGGCCGTGGTGGTGTGACCCACTACCATGTGGCTGCGCATTAAGATGTCAAATGCTCTCAGGAAGAAGGGACATAGACCATAAACATCCATAGACCATTGGTTGGGTGTCTATTAAAATACACCACTCCTTATAGGCCTGTGTTCCAACCCGGGAGCTTCCCAAGCCTTACGTCCCAAATCCGTGAGGGGGATCAGTAATGCGTGAAGCAGGTGGTGCTATCCACTTGAGGAGGTTCCACGGAGAGGAACTTCTCTCAACTTCTGGCGGTACTTTTGGATTCATGATCCGAATCCAGTCCGTCTGGTTGGAAGCCATACCCAGACACTCCATGTATGCCATATATGCTTACATTGGGGTGGTTTGAGGGGTCAATGTAGGCATATATATGGCATACATGGAGTGTCTGGGATATTGAAAAACACGACTCTAGGAAGCAGGAAGATATGCCGCCCCAGAAACACCTTGGATCAAACAACCGCCCTAGCTGGTATAGGCAAACATGGCAGTTCCATGGAATTGCTTCCAAGTGGAAAAGACCGCCCAAGGGCGGCCTCAGTCGACATACAGGACCTCATCTAAGGACTCATTTTCTGAAAATGGAGAATCATACATGCATGATATACGTACATGACAAACATGTATCCCCTCATGATATCAAATTCAAATGAAGACGTGTCCACCGAGGGATCTTCCAGAAGTTTCACCTTTCAGATACCCAGACGCGACGAGTCTGGGACTGCCAGGACGGACTGCCTTCAAAACGGCCAGGGGTGGTGCCAGGGGGGTGGCTTGATCGGCATATATATGGCAGTCCCATGGAGCCTATATGGGATCTGAAACCCACCTCTGCCACGGACCTCGCAGATCACTGCCTACTGCCACGACCTTGACGCCCCTTCCGCCCTTTCATCGGTCCCCTCGCCTGGCCGATGACGTCCCACGTAGAGACGCAAGAAGCAGGACAACCTGGTGAGGGTGAGGCGAGCCACTTAGAGCCACCCGTGGCGCCACCCTTCAGTCGTGGCAGCCCCGGTTTTGGATCGGTCCAGTGTTGTTTTGTTAAAAGCCCCACAAACAGGGGGGCATAGGGTTTGGATGGATGTGTTCTACTTTGTTTCGCATGGTTGCAAGCAAAATCCCGAAGCTGCGCAGCAACTGGGCAAAAGCATCTTCCAACACAGACGACCTCACGTGACGTGGACGACTTTGTGGCGTCCCACGTGACGTGGACTGAGGCGTCCGCTGCGGCGTCGACATGCTGGGATGCACGGGCGTCATCCTGGAGGAAATGGTCTTCAGAAAGTGGACGAAGTAAAAGCCCGGGATTGGGTCCAAGGATGGGTCAAAGGATGGTCCCAAATAGATCGTGGATGATAGTGGCAGGGTTTCCAAGACATTTTTGATAGGTGGAGATCTACGTTTCTATCTATTTGGGGGTCTACATAAGATGGCCCAGAACTTCCGGAACTTGACTTATGTTTTAGACGCCTGGAAGTGTATGACTCCACCACTACCATCGGCTGGGGTAGTTCATTTTCTTGAACTCCTGGACTCTCTTGGGTCTATTGGAAGTCGATAATCACGATGTGTCCAGCGAAAAAGAACAGGAAAGGAACAGGCCCCTCCAGCCTCCTTTTTCGCCCAAATGGTGTTTTTTACCGAAGAAGAACCGGTCCAGGTCAATCGAAAGATCTCCTTGCGAACATGGGGTTTTGCTTTTCTGTTTGGTCATCTAAGTGATAAGGTAACAGCAAATCCGGGGGGGGGGGCAGATGAGCTTTCTGCACCTCTTGAGTACTCAAATATGAAGGATCAAGCGGCATCCCGGACCCAGACACTCTTGGGACTGGCATATATATGCTGATCAATTGACCCCCAAAACCACAGTCCCATGGAGATGTTTCTGGCTGAATTTCTTCCACTGACACCATATTGGGGAAGTCGGCTTCGGTCTCCCATGGAAGTCGACTGCACCGAGCCAAGGTTCCAAGTCGTTTGGTGGAAAGGCTCTGGACTGCTGGTCATTGAGGCACAACCAGACGGCTGGTCAGACTGGGGCCATGAAAACATGGGACGTGAATTCCAGTGCCTCGGTGACGACCCAACGATCGAACCGATCGGTTCGGGTTATGGCCCACACCACTACAGGCTCCGCCTGGATCCCTGGATGCTTCGGGAAAAAGGACCGGTGACGCCAAAAGACTCGGCTCGGCTTCAGGTCGCTTGGATCAAAGGTCGCTTTGGCGAGCCAGGAGGATCGAAGGCAATAGTTAATAGTCACACATTCGCATAGCCAAAAGGGTGGAGGCGTTGTTCTGCAACGACTATATAGAAACTGAAGGTAAATTCTATAAGCCAACAATGTCATGCATAGGTACTGATTGAATCTTGGATAACGCTAGTTGCCAAAATGCCAACGAAGATCCAAATGAAGCGGCTGAAAGCGCATCGGGCTTTTATTCCTGGCTGGACGTGGAGCGGTGGCTTTGACCCCTCGATTGCAAGGAATGACAAGACGGAACTGGGCGTTTTCTGCGAGGCTTCCAAGACGGAACTGGACCGAAGGACACCCCGTTTTCTCTGGGCGCACCCAGTCAAAAACACGAGTGAAAACCAGATCGTCGAAGTGAAAACCCCGAAGAGGTGTCCATTTCTGAACGTATTGTTCTCAAAACATGTTTGTGGTCTTGACGCGCTTTGCAGGTGTTTGATCGTGTGGCCAACGCGTTGGTTGATTCCGGATACCTTTTGGATCTTACAAAGGTGGATAGTGGGAATGCTGGATGGCTGCAGCTGGTTCCAATGATGAGAGGTTCTGGAGACCAGGGATGGTTGTTCCGCACGGCTCGGTGCTGTTTGATGCTCTTTCCAGCTGACTTTGGCCACACTGATTGGCCCCCAAAAGATTTGAGACATGTTCCAACTCTTCAAGGTTGCTGCTTTCACGTTTTGTCTTTAGTCTTCTGAGAACGTATACAAATATGACTCAATAAATAATCAGAAATACAGGAACAAATATACGACTCGCCTTCAGGAACATGAACAAGACATATGAAAAACAGAATATGATGCCGGAATGATGCCTGCGATCTTCAATGTATCTATGTTTTACAGTTTTTGTACTGTGTTTGTTTTGTATTGTTACTTTTTCACGGTTTTTACGAAACAAACACAAAATAGTGAATATAGCAGATTGTCTTTTCTTGTTTGTCTTTTTTCGTGTTCGTATCGTTTCCTGGTATTCCCGGCATCACACTCTCCTTATAGGTTTCACTTGCGCGTGAGAAGACGAAGAAGATGAGTGAGGAATGAAAGCACTGAACAACAAATCTACCAGGACCATTCAAGGGGTGTCCAATGGACTACCCCACACTACCTATAGGCTTCCATTGGGCACCCCTTGGATGGTCCAGGGAGGCATTCTACAAGTTGGAAAATGAGGAAACTTGTTGAATCGAGTGGAGAAGACCTTCGACAAACAAAATGGATTGAAGGCGAGGAACACCCTATATATATATATATTATATAAACCCTTTTGCACGATGAACGGCGGGTAATTCACCTGGTCACCCAGTCTGGAAATGGATCAGTCAGGTATCAAAGGTGTCATGCGTCCTTAATTAGTCGGTCAAAAACCTCTTGAATCTTGAATTTACTGATGCTGCTGGTGCTTTTTTGTCTTCTTAGTATCATCTCAGTTGAAATCACAATGACAAGTGGAAAGAAAAGTGGTGTGAAACATCACAGGCATCGTGTTTCAACAAATTGTGCCTGACCAATACAGTCAATATACGACCCCATCTTAACTCCATTGAATCGTCTCTGCGTTTATCTTGTTGAGGCTTCAAACCTCTTCCGAAAGCACCCGCTCAATGTCTGCGCCGCGTTCCGTGCGGAAGCTCAACGCTCAGAATCGTATTGTGAGGCCTGAAGATGGGGAGGTGAACCGACTCCGATATCGATCTTGACTACACCAACGACTTGCACCTGTTTCTGATGGTCCAGCGTCCCCCAACTCAGGTTGTCAAGATTGGTCGTCATTTTGGAGCAACCTGGCAGACCAACCGAGTCGTTCTTCAATGGGAGTTCTTCAAGTTGTGGACTGGGAGTTTCCTTCACTATCTGGGTTTTGAAGCTTCATTTGAGTTTTGAGTTTGGAACCATATATGAGCACAATTAACCAAAATATACCTTATATAACTTATAAATCAAAAGAAAAAGGCATCGCCAAGCATGACCAGCAGTTTAGAGAAAGAATTGTGAGCTGAGTGCAAAGGCTCCCAAGCCTACACCTATCCAAAACATCCCCCTGCTGCTATGCCGTCGCAAGCTCATCCTCAGAAAGCACCCGGCCGATATGCCCAAATAAGACCACAGTCCAAACATAGTACATACCAGCACCAATGGAAGCCCCTACGCTACTTAGATCTACTATCCGGGATCTCTCCGTTGGACACCCCTTTTTCAGGTCCAGTGTGTTTATCTAATCATATGACATGCAACGTTTCTCTACCCATATGCCTTGGCTATGCCTTGGCACCTCTAGGCTGAGGTAGCTTTGAAAAGAAACCATCCAACAGCGTTCTGATCCGGATCCGGTCTGGGACCCCCAAAGGGTCATGCAGTTGTGAATCGTTTATAGGGGTAAGAACGAGATGTCCGTCATCGGAAGAATTGAGGGGGGTATCCTATTGGTATCAGATGCCCGACTTGGAGAACCTCACGACTGGGTTCGGGTCTTTTGTT